CGTTCGTCTAGAATTTTTCTGACCACATTTGAATTTTTCATTTTTTTTTAAACGGTGCATCTCAATGTGCACTAATTCCCATTTGTGCTTCACCTGCTTATATTTCAGTCAGTCTGGGAACTCAGTTTCAACTGTATAGATGCTTTTGTCCTCATTCTTTCCTGAGCTTCAAGTGTTCAATGTCAGGTTGGATGGGGCTTTGAGCGATCTGTTATAGCGAAAAATATCCCTTACCGTGACAGGGGGGGTTGGAACTAGATCTTTAAAGATCCCTTCCAACCCAAACCACTGTATGATTCGTTCGATGATTCCTGAGAGCACAACTGAATTCAAGGATGATTTCTGCATTTTTGATGTGTGACATTTTCATTGCTCTTAGATGCATGATCTTGCATCTGGTCACCAAGTGAATCTTGTTTAGCAAACGGACTAACTTTTGCTAGGTGTCAGATAAGTGTAAAGCAGAGGTTTCCAAACTGCATATTCTATTCCACAAGTGGCTTACAAATTGTTGTATTATCATAGAGTAATGGAACTGGCTTCTCCTAAGTTCATGCTGGTGAAGTACATTAAATTTCTGTTAAAGACGTTAAATCATATTTAATTTATGCATATTCAAACTACATGGCTGTAATTGCCCTGTGTTCTAAATGTTCATGTGTGAAGGAGCAAGCAAGTCAAAAGAGAATCTTTTTTTTTTGCTGTGACATGTGGCCCCTCTCATGAAGAGCTTTGTCCTGAGGAATGTATTTCTGGAACTGGAATTGTTAAGGAAATTATGACTGAAAGTTTTTTGAGCTTGCTATTACTTGGTTAGTTTCTGAGGTAACCTAAACTAGAAATGTTATAAAGTTATAAAATTTGATCAAGATCTTAGAAGCTTCTGGAGTATTTGGCATTTCTTGCTTGATTTCATGAGCTGATTTAGGAGATTAAAAAAAATTATATTTTATGATAAAAACATGTATTTGGAAAAATCAGGGGTGTCATTTTCAACAGCATTTTTTCCAATGCGTGGCACAGAATGCATATGGATTAGCTATATCTATTGCTATTAAACGTAATGAGTTTCTGTGCTTTTTTTCCCTTTTCCTACATCTTCCTATATCTGCAAAACTCCCCAGTCTTGGAGATACATAAAAATGAGACATTAGCTGAAGCTTTCTCTCTTAAAACTCCTATTTACTTTGCCATGTACTTCTCAACTGTGGGGAGAGAGAGATATATATATATGCATGCATATTTTCATGAGCTGCTTAAACAGATACATGCATCTCTAAATAACTGATGGATGCATTCTTCTTGGTATGCTCAAAAGCCTGTTTTATTTTTTTCTATCCTCTTTGTTCCCTATATTCTATTCTTCAAAACATTTCCCTTGCTGTATATATTAGAGTGAGTGCTTACCAAAGCATAACTTTAGCTAATGACACTACAGGTCTCATAAGAAATAATTCAATTGCTGCTTTAATAAGCAGCATATTTAATAAATCCACATAGACTCAGTAGAAATTGCTCATGATTTTGTTCTGGTTAAATATCAGTGTGTATATAAACCCAAAGCTTTATGAGCCTTTGCTGTAACTCTTTGCCAATAGCAGTGATGGGGCAAATTAATTTTTATTCCCAACAGAAGATTTTGCTGCTGAGGTCATATTGCATTAACTGCGATCACATCTATATTTTGTGGCTATAAATACATTGTGCTTGTGAAAATAAGTATATGTGAATGAAGTATAAGATGTGACAAAAATAAAGTCTATACACTGACCCATTTGAATTGATTTCATGTGTCTCAGAAAACCTTGAGATACAAAATCATGCTCACAATTCATTACATCCTAAATGAAGCCAGTTACTTCTGATTTAAGATTATGCTCACTCTCTCTTAAAAGAACTGCTTCATTTGCTTATTACTTTGTCAAATTTTAAGTTCTATGAGGGGGAGTGAACATTTACATATCTAGTGGTTACCTCAGCTTGTGGAGTTCGGGTTGTTGAGCTTCTGGTAGGATTTTTTACTGTTTGGGTATGGTTTATCTATCTCCAAGAATGGGATGAGGAGAAAAAAAAAGAAGGTGGGTCTATGTAAAGAAATGCGTTCAGCTGTCTTCACTGAAAAGCTGCATGTAATACTTCCGTGATTAAGGGCAAAGAACGAAATAAGGGCAAAAGAAGTATTTTTCTGGCAGAGCAGTACCCATTTGTACCTAAGAAAAATAGCCAACCCTAACCATGTTACAAGTCTTTGCATATTTTAGAAGGAACAGCATAGTAGAAATAAATGAGACTAGCATCACTGGAAGATTTTTGAGTTTAACAGCTAAATTCTCAGCACAATGGCAGAATTTAGCAGACAGGGAAGAGGAAAGGTAGAGACTGAAACACGGCTGCAGTTACGGACATGATAGAAAGTTTTGGCAGAAGGACTTTGGAGAGCTAGTTGCAGAAAGATTCTCTCCTGGTTCTCGAGAAGTGACTTATCTGGGCTCACATAGGCTCGCAGGCTTACGGTAGGCCATTCTCAACTTTTTTCTGAGTGCACTGGTAGAGTGTATGTCTCATCTCCCTTAGTGATGGCCTGTTAAGGTAGCTCTGTAGCAGCTAGTAAGTGCTCTGTTGCCTCAAGTGACAAAAGTTTGTGCAGGGAATCTAAGTTTTCGGACCTGTTTGTGACTTGAGTGACTGGTTTCATATGAAGAAATTCTTGTGGGGTTGTTGGGGCTTTTTTCCTGTTTGTTTTATTCCATTTTAAAACCTGTGAAATTGCATTTTAAAACCGCATGAGGTAAACGTTTCGGTTGCAAGCGCAACCATTAAGCCCAATACACTGACAAAAGAAATGCCAGATGTGAAGTTTAGCTGTGCAACTTTAATTCATCCCATTTATCTGCGTGCATAATGTAGGTGTTATATGCACCATCACATTTCATTTTTTGCAATACTACTGAAGTGTGCTGTGGGGATGAACCTGCTTTCTGTGGTGGTGACTTCCATTTTCTGTAGTTCTCCTCTCCTTTTTGTTGCAAAGCTTGAAACTGTGAATGAAGGAAAAGGAAGGATATCTGAGTAGGTGCTTTCTTTGAGATTTAATTTCTGTTCCAGCCTCTGCCACAGAATAGCTGTGTGAGAGTGAGCTAATAATTTAAACCAAACCTTTTACAGGTGACTTCTGATTAAGTGTTTATTATTTTGGGAACCAGAGGCTGGGCTTTTGGAAATGCTGAGCATTCTCACAGCAAAAGTCCCTGCAAGGTGTATATGGAGCTATGCAATGCTAAATACTTACAAAAAATGGCCTGTAGGCATCCCAAATTAATAGCTGCTATATCTCATAGTGACTTCATCTCTCATCTGTAAAATGGGATAATACTATATCTTCATTCTTCTTGTAAAATAAATTATGTATTTGTGAATCTTTTGCATGCTATAGTGATGAACACTGCAGAAAAACAGATAACGAAAAATGTGATGCTGATTTTAAAGAAAGATAAACTACATGAAGCCATGTCTGGAGTAATGGCAGTAAAACACCACTGAATGAAGTTCCAGATTGTGAGAAAAAAGTAGTTCGTAGCTATTAAATCAAGAATTGTATCGTAACGTCTACATAATGGGGGCTGCATGATCAACCTTTTAATTCCTAACTCGTGAGCGCTTTATTTTGCAGCCTGCATACTCTTTTCATAGGGCCTTGTGGGCATGTGCAATCACGCAAAACAATGTGCTCATTATAAAGCTTTCAGGTAGAGTTTTTGTCACACTAGTTTATTATTAATGTATAGATAATAAATAACATCTTGAATAAGAGATCTGCTGAGACCCATTTTCCCTCCTAACAATAACATGGAAGAGTTTTGGCCTTCAAATTTTAGTAATGTCTGTCTGTTCAGAAATGTGCTTTATTTATTTTTGTATATATATACTTCCCCAAAATCAGTTTTTGCTAAATCCACAAGCATTTAAATTGCTGGTAGTCTTTATTTACTGTAAATTGCATCTGTGTGCCATTACTACATTTTGACTTACAAAGTCTAAGCTTTAATAAAAGGCAAAAAAGAGAGAACCTTTGACAAGCTTTATTAAGTTTTAGCAGGTCAAAAGCTTAGTTGTATTACACATTAATAAAACTTATTGGAGAATATATTTACATCTATCTCTATCTGTATATTCATATTTAGCTTGGTACTTTGCAAATTGCCTTACCTAAAATCTAGTGGTAAATTATTATGACAACAGAAAAGGTATTTTGTAGAAAGAAATGGAGTACCTCACTTCTTGATAGCAGTTTATAATTTCCTTCATCAAATTTAGTTGAGGCTATTCTGTCAGTGTGGTTGGGTTATCTTTGTTCTTCCATGGCTGCATAGCAGTGTTTTAAAAATTTTCTATTCATTTTATGTTTTTTCAGCTATCGTGACTGGTTGTCTTGTACCATTCCCCTTGAGTGTATGTGTGCATTTATTATTTTAAACAATAATATTACATGTCCAGATAGGGGTCCCATTAACATTCTATTTCACTAGAAATTGGCAAAAATTTGCATCAAAGGGTTTAGCTTCATAAATAATATTTTGTATTGTTATTGAGTGGTGGTTGCTGGTTCTTCCCTTTTCACCATATTGTGAATTTTTCACCACTTGGCATGACAGAGCAAGAAAGCTGAAATGCTCAGCTTCACACATCACATTTCTGAGAGGCTTTGTTATTTTGTATAGTCTATATTTAATGCAAAAACGTAAGAAAACAGATGTAAACACTTAAATGATGTGATTATAGGTGGAGGCATGTGACTGTCTCAAACTTAAGGTTTTGTAAAAAGCACGTGAAACTGTTATTTGATTGGAAGTCTCAAGGAAGAATGGCTTAAAATTTCCTTGCAGCCTTTCCTAACTAGTGGGTCCCCTATAACAGAACCAAATAAAGCTATTTTGGAACATTCAGTTAACAGTAATTTAAACCTGTGGTTTTGTTGTTTTTGTTCTTGTTTCACTGAGCAGTATATTAATCAATCCTGGAAACCATGTCAAGATTCAAGAAGGTACTTTAGGATTCTTCATTGCAAGTGATGCCAAAGAAGTAAAAAGGTAATTCATGTATTTTTATCTTTAAATTTAAACATACAGTATTTAAGTTCTGTTTTTTCTTTACGTGTAAACACCTCACCTAATTTTCGTTATTAACTGTTTAAAGATTATCAGGGGGAATTGAGTTGGTACTCTAGTGAACCAGCCATGTGTGCATGCCGTTTTCTTAACTACAGTCCTAAATATCAAGGAAATGAAATAATTTTACAGCAGATGTGAAAAGAAATGAAGAGGCTTTTTTTCTGAATCCTACTAGACAATGTAAAATATTTTGATTTCATTAATTAATTTGTATCAGTGGAATTACTTTGAGAGAGGACAAGGATTACAGTTTTGTCCGAGCTTCAGGTTTAGAGTAGTTCTTATTTACATGGACTAGCAAATATTTGATGTGAGCAAGCTACTGTATTCATTCGGTAATTGCATTAGCAGAATAATATTTATGTTCTTGTCATTTTTCTTTACTGGAGCTACATACTCTATGGCCTTATAATAATAAATCAAACTACAACAGCGCAGTATATCCCAACCATTGTAGACAACTTCATTGGTTCGTTGTACTTGGCCATATTAGATTTGGGTTGAATGAAAAGGGTTTTATGGTATTGTGTTTAGGACCAAACGTGTGTACTCTTGCTTGTTAGGATTGTAATATGCTTGGAAGGAGTAAAATAGCAATGTGAGAAAATAATTTTTAAAAGAAATAATTATTCAATGTCTGTAAGATTTAAAAAAAAAATTAGAAAAGGAATACTTGCAGCTGAGTGCTTCCTCATAATTTGTATTTTTGTTGTAAGTCATGCTGTCAAGAATCGGATTTTTACTTGATGTTCTCCTTGAGATAGACACTTTAACTAAATCCTATACTTAGAATGATGAAATATGCAAGTGATAACCTTTACTAAGTCCTAAACTTTTTATGATTAAACTACAGTGAAAATAATATTTAAGCAATGCATGTTTGCCATGAATATTTAAAGGGTCAAAGCATCAAAACAGTGAAATCACCGAGAACTTGAATTCTCGTGTTGTTAATATAGCTAAGATAGTTTTTGGCTAGGTGAAGCACACCAGTGCTCCTGTCCTCTCCTATTTCTAGCACCGTCTTTGGAGTATTTGCATCCAGCATTGCCTCAGGTATGCTGCCTTTCAGCGTATAGCTCTTTTCCTCTCTGGTGCTTTTCTCCATTTGAATATACAGAACTGTCTTCACATTCCTTTACTGAGATGCGAGCTTTTTTCATTTATAAGGCATTTTACCCTCTCCTATGAAATTATTTCAGACTGTAAGTAAAGATTACCTGGCATAGCATTTTTAACAGGCAGAAGTTGACTGCTGTTAATGTGTTTAGAGAAAATTTAGACATCATTCACCTAGCGTGTTTCATCTAATAGCAAGCTGAAACAAAATTCCCAATTCTGCCTTGTTTTTTGCAGAAGGCTTTGTTTAGAAACATGCTGCCTCCCTTACCACATTTCTTAGCTGTTCTGTGCAAAGCAAATGATTATCAGATGTGTTTCAACTAACAAAACCAATTATGTAAAGTGTTGATTTCACCCTTTTCAGCTATGAATCAGTCAGAAAAATGTTTTAAAATTGAGGTCTTTTGGAGGGGGAAAAAAAGGATTTTTTATTAAAGCAAAATTAAGCGTTATATACCTGAAATGCAAATTAAATTATTCTGGTTTTGAGATACATGCTAATGGAGAAATTTCACCTCCTTTAAGCTAAAGCTATTCATATTTACCAAATACACATTTCACAGTGAAATATAACATGCAATGTTCAATTACTCTTCTTGTAGAACGACTTTTGCATTTTTAGAACAATAGTTTCACATTAGAAACAATTATACATAGACACAATTATGCCTAGGTAAATAGCTTCATATAAAATGTTGAGTGTTTAAATATAATGCAAACTATATGAATTGCATCTTTATTATTCTTTATTCATTTACATGTTAGTACTAACGTCAGAAATCCACATGCTTCAAATCCAATCCACTTAATTCAACCCAATTGTATAGAAGGATAATTTTATTACAGCAATCACTTCAGGCGTTTGCTCTTGACGTTGCACATAGGATTGAAGGTACTCTTTAGGACATTTGTCCTGCAGTGGACTTCAGGAACATGATCTGTAGAAATGACCTATCTCCCAATTCGTGTCATGAAGTTTTGTGAGGGAATATTTGTGATAGTGGATTCTTGTTCGATACGGGGCTTACAGCTGGATTGGGGAGAAATTGTAAAAATTGGAGGCAGTTTTCTCCTCCTTGCTTATGTCTTGACAACTACTCATGGTTTGCAAAATATTTTATTCTCATTTCCTTGGAGGCAGTTTGTTTTCTTTTTGTTGGAACTTGAATATTTTGAAGACCAGAAATTTTCTGCAGCTGAGTATACAAATGCTCAGAGAAGGCTTTTTCATTTTACATTTTGCTTCTTGGAAATAGTAAGACAATTTCACAGTCTGAAAGAGTAATCTTCCTAGAAGTTTCTTAGAGAAATTAAGTCTGCTACATTTAGGACTTGCATCTTCAATCAGTAGCTTGCATGCTATCTTGATTTTAGAAATTTTAATAACATTCAGTGAGGTCTTACTGCAAATTTAAATTTGTATTCTCTGGTCCATATCTCATATGCTAGACCTGCTACCTTTCTCCTAACGGGCCACTTTACCTGGGCCATTATTCAGAGGTGTAAAATAACTTAGATAAATCCATAACTATTTGAATTAGGTATCTAGTTCATATTTCTCAACATATCCTTTAATGTAGTTCCACCTGTGGTGGACACTGCCTAATTAACCTAAAAAGCATTAGTAGCGATCATCCTAGCTGAACTGTTAGAGGCTGGGGAATTTAATTTTTTTTTTTTTTTTTTTTTTCTAATATATTTTGGACTGTAGATTGTTCTGTTCCAGTGACCCCCATACTGTTGTAGCAATCCAACCATCCTAAATCTGTGAACAGTACTGTCGGCAAAATCCATGGGTGGTTGCAAAGTGGCACCTTTGGTTCTTACTGCCAGTTTGTGTTGAGAAGTATGCAATGAGAGAGGGTTGGGAAGATAGGCACAGAGCAGACAAATTCTGAATATGGATAAGTACAGGGAAATTTCAGCAGGTTAAAAAGTATGTTTAATTTGTTATGCCAGCAAGAATCCTGAGAAACTGTAACTGTCCAGCTAGAGGGCAGCTGTCTGATCCTCATGAAATGTGTCACAGCAGCCTTACGTGACATGTTGACTTGACAGGCATGATTAAACTCTCCTGTGGACAGTCTGATGCATATTTATTAAATTGGACTTCTGTTTTAATCTTATATAAAGTCAAATGTTTACCCTTTCTCACTTCCTTAGTTCTCCTTGTGTTTCACCTAGTGGTGAGCCATTTGATACAAAAGTAGAAGTTCATAACCAAAAGCACTAAATGGAAACCTAGATGGTTCACCTTGTTAATTGAGGGGGGGGTTTTTTTTGAAATTTTGGCTTTTGTCTGTTCAAAACTAAAATGGTTCTGCTCTATTCTGGTATAAAAGACAAAAAAATAGTCTGATTCAAGATTATTTCAGTTCTTTCATTTATATGTTCCTTTAGGAACTTATTTTGATAGGATTTTGCCTTTCTGGTTTTGGTTGGGTTTTTTTGATAAATAGCATGTCTGATGTTATTGTCACATTGATCTCATTTCAATCTCTCATTGTATCCAAAATGAAGTCCTACTTGAGACCAGGCTGATAAATTGGCCCAGGGTGATAGACAGTCTTAAAAAAAAAAAAAAAAATAAATCTGGTATATCCAATAAGAACAGAGAATTCATTATATACATATTTTTGTGACAAAATTCATTGGATGCTCTTTTTTCTAAGATGAAAGGCAAATGAACTGATATACTGTGTCATAATTATCATCCTCCCAATTACTCTTCAAATAAAAGTATATTGAAAGAAACACTAATTTGGAGTCTTATGTTTGAAATTAATGGTCTTGCAGCAAATACTTCCTACTTTAAATGCCTAAACCTTTTCAAAGATTAAAGGAAATTAGTGCTGGCATGTTTCATTAATTTGGCACTGCAACAAGAGGAAATGTGGGCCTAATTTCATTTGTATGGATTAAGAAATGTGTCAGTTTTCCCATTCTGTCTCTCTAGGGCATTTTTTTACTGCAAGGCCTGTCATGATGACATCACGGATCCCAAAAGGATAAAAAAATGTGGCTGCAAACGGCGTAAGTAATATTTCTATCACTCCCTTCCTCTCCTTTTCATGAACTGTTCAGCCTTGAAGAATATCTGTACATGCGTTTACGTGTTTTACACAGTGGCACAGAAAAGCTAAGAAATAAATGCACAGCAACATAGTAAGTGCCATTTGCATTTCTGAAGTCCATATATTTTTATTACATTTCGCACCACTCACACCTGTTTCTTCATTAAAAAGTCCATTAGGGTCTAGAGCTAACAAAACCTGAAGAATTAAATCAAGCTAGATCTAATTGTGGAGGTTTCCGAGTTAAGAATGAGCTAACAGTGAAGTTCTGCTCTCATTCATACCATGCAGAAATCCAGTAATTTCAATAGATTTCTGTAAAGTAAAAAACTTCTGTCTATCTTGCTGAACATGATTCTGTAAAAGAAGAAACTAGGGAATAATATTCCATCATATAACTATTGAAATAAATTATTATTGAAATAAACGGTCAGTTTTACTGGAGGAAGGGACTGTCTGGAAGAAATTAAATATTAGTGCCTCTTACATATATCCTTTTAGAAGATTCCATAGCTGTAATGATAATATTTGGTTTAGTTAAGTTCTTAGGTCTGCTCTTTAAATTGTTTGGAAAATTTTGCATGAGGAAATAATTGAGTTTTGGAATTGAGATCAGACTTTGTATCTGTATTTTTATAAATATATAGAAATTAGCATTTTATCTATATATACTTTGAAAGGACTTTTTGCAGGAACTATCACAACCACATTTTGGCCAAGGATGTGTTTGACCCATGCATATTTGTAATACCGATAGCAAAAGGATTTAGGGATCCATTTCTCAATGGATTTCTGAATATTTACGTGCATTCCATGGTATTCTGCCATGAAAAAGATCATTCAGTTCAAAAGTACTGATTAGGTAAATTGAAAGATCTCAGAAGAGCTTGATCATGTCTATTTTACCATTACTTTTAAAAGGGAAAAAACCTCTCCTATTTAGAGATGCAGTCAGTTATCACTGCACTGTCTTAGAGGATAGAAGAAAGCCTAAACTGCACCTTCTCCTTCTTTAAGGGGTGCCTGAAATTGATGAATTCTTGAAGGTGATTTTAAAAAGAAAAAATATGTCACTGGAGTTTTTAAAGAAACTCCTCTCCCCGCAAAAGACAGGAGTGTGGAACAAAGTAGTATAATTGAGAGAAAGCAGCTGAAACACTGACAGAAAATGGTATTTATCCTCCCAGTAGCCACAAGGAGAGCAAAGCACATGGAAAGCATGCCTGATGTGGAAGGAATGTATGCGTTGCCTAACATATTGGAAAAAAATTGTTCAAGAACAGTTTATCCACGTGAGAACGTGCCCTTTGAACTGCTGCCAAAGCCAATGAGCCTGCTGAGTAAGTTCTGGTAAAGCCAGTTACAGATGCCTCGGGGTGCCTGTAACTCTCAAACCCAATCTTTTTTCCAAATTACGCAACAGTTAAAGAGAAATATGTTACCTGTTTAATTTTATCTGATTCTGTCAAAAAAGTCCTGTCTATTTTGTATTTTCTTCTCTACTCTTCCTTCACATAGTGTATGCTTTTCACACGTGCTGATTATAAAAAAAAATAAATTCCCAAAGAGCTGTCACTTTAATGCGAGATCTACGCTTTTCATTGAAATCTGTTGGAAGCTAGGAATCAGGAATTCACAGTATAAAGGGCAAGAGCCCTTTATTACACGTTAATGAAAATCAGTGTAGCCTCCTCAGTACTAGGAAACCAGGGAGAAAACAGAGTATCCTGTGACCCAGCCAACACAATGGATATGTTACCAGCAGTAGGGCCGTGGAGAGGCGAGAGTGACAACTTCTGCGTGTGGCACTAGGAAATGCTCCATGGTCACACGTATCAGTCCACTAAATGAAAGGGTGTTGGACAGATGAAGAAACAAAATGATGGGGTTAGTGAGGCTGAAGGAGGCGGCTGTCGGAGCTGCTGCAGTGAGCACTGAACACTGAGGAGGGAATCCTCTGAGTCAGGTGAAAAAGAAAAAAAAAAAAAAAAAAAAAAAGGTCAGTGAGAGTAAAATCTTAAATTTCCCTTTCATTGTCTCCCCTCTCCCTCTCCCCCCCATTTGCCCTCTCCCCCCTCCTTTCCTACATACACACGCGTATGGTCACAGGTACCACGATAGCTGGCAGCTCTCAGTGCGGCTGAAAACAGCTTCCGCTTAGGAGCATGCTCACAACTATTAGGAATAATACAGTTGCTTTGCTTTTAAAGTTCTGTCGGTCAGCAAAAAATTTAAATGAAAAGTTTCAACAGTAATTAGTGATTTTTGGTCTCTCAAATTTTGATGACAATCTTGAGATCCCTTTTATGGGACCTGATTCTTTTTAAAGGTAAGTCTTTAGTGCAGTCTATTATTCACATAAAATGTCTTAGCTTTAGCTTTCAAATCACTAATCACTTTTGAAAATCCTAACTATGTTATCCATCTGTAAGCTACACAAATCATTGGTCTTAAAAATGCAGTCTAACCAAAACAAAGCATAAATTAAGAAAACTCTTTCCCTATTGAATTAGGAAACTGTCAACTGATCCGTCAACAGCTAATATGTCGATTTGATTTTCAAAGACACTGCAAATAGTCACACACGAGTATATGTAGTCCTATATGATAAATATATATTTTAATTAGCGAGTAACATAGCAATTAGAGGCAGCTGAATGCGGAAAATATGTAAGATGAAATGAAAGGTTGTATGTAAAAATATTGACACATTCAGGTGAATTAAATGTGAAAGAATATCTTTACGTGGAAAACTTAATTATGGTGGCATTAATTAATGCAGCTTCCCGTGACACTTGAAAACCACATTCTTTAAATAATGCATCTGAGGTTGCACATCAGTTTAGATACTGTCTGAACATTAGCTCGTGGTATTGTTGGGGTCTAAACGTGAGTCTGACCTACATAGCCATTTGTCCAAACCTGTTAGGCCTAATATTAATAATCAGGGCAGATCAGTACGTTTCCACAAGGCCAGGGATAATTAAAGTAACCTCGCTTTCCTTTTGCAGTTTCTTTGCCATCCCTTTCTCCTTGCCCATCCCACGCCCTGAATAACATATGAATGCTGATGTCACACTGTCCAGAGAAATGCTTGTGTGGAAATTTTATTCACAGATTGTTAATATTTTTTTTAATGTTTTCAATCTCTTTCCTATTCCATTTAACTGTAGTTTTTGCAGCAAGGGGCCAAATACATGTATATATTTATATAAAATGCAGCCACGTTGGGATGGTATCTCTAAACTGGATGACCTGCTCCTCCTGTTTCTTTCATTTTGTGCAACAGCTATGCTCTAATTCTCTATATATTTTTTCCAGTGACAGTGCTTGCTGTGAATGGTGGGGGCTGAACCCCAGAGGGGACATATCATGTGTACATTGATGTGTTTGAAGGAATTTCTTGTAATCTATGACAATTGACAAACTTTTGATTTATTTTTCCTCTTGCTGCCTTGGAACACGGCCCCTACTATATTTTAACTGCACACTGATAGTGATCTATTGTGAGTAAAAATGGGTTCCCTGTAGCCCAGAGTGCGGTCCAACCTGTCTTTCTCTAGCAGAGAGTATTTTTGTTCAGTATTTTGGTTCTTTTCTTTATTTTATGTTGCATGTAGCAGTGACGTCATACCCACAAGTTTCTCATCGTTTACACCCACGGAGATTAGGGTGACGTTGAAGAAAATACAGCAGTTTTCCCCTCTTCCACCTTTTTGCCCCTTTTTTTTCCACAACCTTATTTTTTATCCCGATTTGAAAATGAGATCTTGGCAATGGCATTTCCTTGAAACGATTCTAGAGACAGCTCATGAATTTTTAGGGATATCGGTTAGGCTGGGGTAATTACCACTATAGCACTGTTTGCCTGGTTAAGTGCAATTCATTGTCAGACCCGAGTTCAATTTTTTCGTGCTTTGTCTTTTCCATTGCATAGCTGTCACAAAGAGCAACACAGCAGTCTGTTGTTGTCCTGATCTAACTCCTTTCTCCCCATCGGCAAAAAAAAAAAAAAGGAGATGGGGGTAAAGCCAGACAATGAATTAACTGTGTGGCTAACTTCTAATGTATAAACTACAGATATCTTCGACAGGAAACAAGCTACAGTGATTATTTTCCCCAGCTTGCTTGTTTTGAAATTAATTACATGAGTAGAGCCACACTGACTTTTCAGGACCTAAGCTGTAAAGTTTTACTTTATTATTATATATAGAATATGAACTTTATAGACCACTTCATGTCAATCTAAGTCATACCACTTTAAAGTGTACAGAATTTGTGAAGGCTCTCGTCAGCCACTTTCAGTGTGTACAGTTGTGATAATTTAAATAAACACAGCATTTGGGACATGGAAATAATTTGCTGCTTAGAAAGACAAGTGCTGCAAAGAGACGTACTGGTGATAGGGCAGTGTTGGGATTATACGGACTTGTTCTTTCAAACAGCAAAAGGGATCAAATATTTCATAGCTGCAGTGAGGCATTACTGTACCAGATTGAGACTGCTAACCATACCGTATAACTGCAGCTATTCTAAATAAGTGGGGCTATGAGACTTTTTCAACATTTCACCAGATATTCCGAATTTATTGTGTGATAACACTTCAGGTCTTAATCAGGATTGAGATATTTTTTCCCCTCTCAGCTGTACGCACCATAGGATCTTGCAAAGAATCAAGGAAAAGTTGACACTCCTGGAGTTGCAAGATAAAGTGCTAGCCATCTTGGAATTGTGATGGCCTTCATTATGATTACCATTATTTACTATTTATCTTATTGTGGTACCTGCAAACTACACTAAAGGATTTGAGATCCTGTTGTGGTAGAAAGCATTCAAACAGAGAACAGAAGTTTCTCCAGAGATCTATTTTCAGCCAATAGAGTGACAAGGCAGAAAGATGGGGCAGCACAGAAAAGCAGATTGTGAACAGGTCAGCACGATAAGAATCAATACTTAATA